AGAGGGAGAAGCAGGCTTCCCGCTGAGCAGGGAGCCCGATGTGGGGCTCGATCCCAGGATGCTGGGATCATGACCTGAGCCGAAGGCAGACGCTTAACCAACTGAGCCACCCAGGCGCCCCTAGAGTAATGGTTTTAAATGCATAAAATAAAATACAGGAATATAAAGGAAACCAGTTATGTTGAAATATAGTTATAAAATTATTTTAAAAAACAGATTGTTGCTTTGTGATATATACATAGTTAACTTATTAAATAACAGTGTCCGGGGGTGGGTCTAAAAACTGCCATCAATTTGAAATAATAATGAATATCGATCATGCTCCAAGATATCTGCCCCCCTTGCACCGTGATATGAAAATATCTATGATTTCTAGTGGTGACAAAGCCATGCATACTGTTAATACCACTGCTGTTTTTTCCTTATAATGAAAGGAAAAGCTAAAATTCTGTTAGAATGTAGTAAAAATAAAGATGTAATTTCTTTCCCATTCAAGTTGGCAAAATCCACAAATGTGTCCCCAGACCCTCTGAGGCAGCAGCCCCGGGTTAAAAAAAGCTCTGACTGAATGACTGACTGCAGACCCCCCTCTCTGGTGCTATGTGTGGTGCTGGACGCTGGAAAACTAGGAACACAGGGGATCCCCGTTCTCCCCGATGTCACGGGCCAGCCAGGAGGGACAAGTAACTGACTCCCTGTGACAAGCTTCAGTGGGCCTCCCATTTGGCCCAAAGTGGAGCAAGATTAAGGAGAAAGGGAGTGCCACAGCGGAGATGTGAATGCGTGGTACGTGGCTTGTCATAAGCCAGTCCTCCATTTTTCTCCATGGCACACTGAAACAAAATCACAGTGACCACATGCAGCTGTAGGGACTTGCACTAAAACGTGCTACTCATATTCTCAGTGTTGCACACGAGCCCTGGGAATGGTTCAGTATAGACGAAACATTCTTTTGCTTCCCACACAGTAGCTGGAATTTTAAGACTTCGTATCACCCAGTTTACTTGCCTGGTACTTAGTGACCTTTCTCCTCCGTCCTTTCCAGTTTATTTCTCCTCATCTGTTACAGTAAGTAGATCTACTTACTTACCAACATAGCTATGAAAGAAATAATTTCTTCTTAGGTATTACGTATTGTTTTAAATATCTTTTTTCTAAGATCACTTTAAAATGTTTTAGGGACGCCTGGATGGCTCAGTCGGTTAAGCGTCTGCCTTCAGCTCTGGTCATGATCCCAGGGTCCTGGGATCGAGTCCTGTGTCAGGCTCCCTGCTCAGCGGGGAGCCTGCTTCTCCCTCTGGCCTGGGGCTACCTCTTGCTTATGCATGCATGTGCACTCTCTCTCTCTCTCTCTGACAAATAAAATCTTTTTAAAATATAAAAAAATAAAAATAAATAAAATGTTTTACATTAAATGCATCTTCCTTCTTGGTATGCTCAACTTTTTTTCTTTTCCTTTTTCTGTTCAGTGTGACAAATGGCGGGAAGACAACACTGGCTAAGAATTTGCAGAAACACCTCCCAAACTGCAGTGTCATATCTCAGGATGATTTCTTTAAGGTATCTGTAAAAACATCTTAGATAATTCATTTAACACAACAAAGTTTTAGTGGCAAAGTTAATGAAATTACATCCAAAAAGCCTTTGCTGAGTGATAGAGTTTTTGTAGAGAAGGTAGGCTCCATGCAGTAATGTCCCTTATCCACTAGATGGCATTACTTATTGGTACGGCTCTGATTTTATTTATTTTCCACATCCAAAGCGTTTAGTAAAAGTTTATCGCCTCTTCATTCTATAGTTGTATTTCTTCTGCACTGCACAGTTTTGATGGGTGCTTTGTTCTTTTTACCAGCCAGAGTCTGAGATAGAGACAGATACAAATGGATTTCTGCAGTATGACGGTAAGTAGATGAGTCTGACACATTCGCTAATGTTCATTTTCTTTTTCAAACCCGAATACCTTTTCTGTCTATGAAGACAGTCTCAAAAATGTGCTCAAATATATTGCTGTACTTTACACATACTTTTGTAAAGGTTTCTGCTTTATGTCCAACTATTTAAATAAATGAAACCTTTTCCCCAGTTTTATATTTAAGACTGAAAACATTGGAACAATAGATTTTTCTTCTAAAGCTAAAGCAAGGTAGGTTTGCTGGTACTCCACTCATCCCTGCCTGGGACACACATAACTAAGCATACTTCCTTCACCCCCTTCCTGCAATCTCGCCTGAAGCAAACCCTATGCTCATCCTCTGGGCTTACCTTCCCAGTGACCAAGGTGCACTGGACAGCTTGTTTCTTCTTTCCACTGCTCATAAAGGTTAGTGAGTATTTTTGAGATGGTTTCACCTTGCTCCCTTGCCCAATCTAACACTGAAGCCAAAGGATTATAAAGTCCATCAGAAAATAATTTATTTTCCTATAGAGAATATCATGCTAATAAACTATATTTAATGGTCTCATCAACTTTTTTGATGAACAAGATGATCACTGAGTGCTTATGCAAACTGGCAACAGAAACAGCTCTCTAAAAAGCCATGAACTGTGTTCTTTATTTTTAACTTTGATGACCTTAGAGGAAAAATGTTGTGTAATCAGTTCTTACAGATACTTGATAGTTTTAAGAGAAGCAAAATCCTTGAGTCATTCCCTGTTCTTGTGTCTTGAGCTCCAGCCAGAATATTTTTTTTCTTTTCATCCCCTCGTCTGACGGTTATTGAGGAAGATTCTTAGAAAGTAAGCGTTAAACAAGGAAAAATCATTTTCAACAATTGACAAAGAATTATTCCTAGTTCAAATGAGTTCTTGTAAGCTGATAAAAAGAACACTAATATTCCAATTGAAAAATGTCCAAGGATATAAATAAGCTATTCATAGAAGCAAAAAGTTATTTGATTAATAAATAAACAGTAAAAAGTCAACCTCAGAAGTAGTCAAAGAGTTGTAAATTACTTTTTTTTCTCACTGAGTAAACAGATTTTTAAAGCAATAATTATCTAATAATGGCACAGTTATCTAATTATCTAATGATGACTCAATAAAGCAAGAACTCTTTTAGCTGGGAATATTAATTGACATAACCCTTCTGGAAGAGAGATTGAGCATATGTCCCAAAGACCTTAAAATATTCATGCCATGGGTCAAGTGTCCCACTTCCAGGAATCTAAGGAAAAAATCTGAAATTTTTAGGTAAGTATACAAATTTAAAGTAAATCAAGGTAATGCCAAGATCTTTACAACCACCAAAAGAAAAGTTTAAAGATGTATAGCTATCAAGTCTATGAATAGATGGAATCATTAAAATGTAGTTGATAAAGTAAGTCAGAAGTAAAAACTAGAGAACTTAAAGAAGTCAAAAGATGATAGAAAAATAGAAAATGAGAGTAAAATGATAGATTTAAGCCAAACATATCAGTAGCTATATTAAGTTAAACGAACTAAAATACTCCAAAGATTGTCAAGCTTGTTTTTAAAAAAGAAAGAAAGAAAGAAAAGCCCAAGTATAAGCACCTTACAAGACATATATTTAAATATTAGGACAAAGAAGAGTAGACAAGGCTAGAAAAAGATCTGCCATGTGAACACCTACTGAAAAAATCTGGTATAACTACTAATATCAGACAAAGTAAACACAAAGAGTATCCCTAGAGATACTATTACTAGAGATAGATAGAGATAAATGGGTCAATTCAACAGGAAGATAATCTAAAATTTGTATGTGCCTAATAACATAACCTCACAATACATTAAGCAAAAACTGACAAAACTAAATAGGGAAATACACAAATCTATCATTATTGTGGGAGATTATTAGTACAAGCTCTTCAATAACTAATGGAAAAAGCAGACAAAAGTTATAAGGGTATAACAGATTTGAGCAACACAATTAACAAACTTAACCAAACTAACATATATAGAACATGTGGCCAATCACAGCAGAATACACATTTTTGTTTTCTTAATACAGGAACATTAACTAAAATGGAAGACATATGCAAGGGCATGGAGCAAGTCCTAGTACATTTCAGTAGATTGAAGTAATATAGAGATATCCTCTAATTACAGAGAACTGAATTAGAAATCAGTAACAAAAGAGTAAGTAGAAAATTCCTAAGTGTTTGGAAATTAATCAGTATCCTTTTTTTTCCAGAAAAATTTAAACATATACAAAAGTAGACAGAAAAGTATAATGAACTCTCATGAATTGATCATCCAGCTTTTAAAATGATGCACTCTTGACCAATTTATATTTCATCTATGCCCTCACCCACTTTCTCCTTATGTATTTTTTAAAGTAAATTCCATATGTCATCACCTTTCATCTGAAGCAAAGCAATTCTGTATATCCTGTGGGTTAAAGAATAAATCCCAGTGAAAATTAGAAGATACTTTAAACTGAACAATAATGAAAATATATTAAAACTGATGGTATTTCTGGTTCCAGATAAGATGGATTGGCCCCATTCCTTGCTCTTTCTCCCTCTTATAATTGAAAACCTTGGATGGAGCACAACAAACAAAGGAATACTCAAAGATAAAAAGAAGAGAACAGACTGGCTAGGGCCTTTGGGACTTGAAGAATGATGTAGCTGTGATTCTCTGGGTTTTCTTCTTACCTGTCATATAGCCAGGAAGGGGTGTCTGAGGGGTGTGCAACATGGTATCAAAAATAGGTACAGACAAAAAGCCCCAAGAAACCCCTACCCTGTAGTCAAAGGCCCAGGAAAAGAGTGGCGCACTGAATAGAAAATCTTTTTTTTTTTTTTTAAAGATTTTATTTATTCATTTGACAGAGAGAGACACAGTGAGAGAGGGAACACAAGCAGGGGGAGTGAGAGGGGGAAGCAGGCTTCCTGTGGAGCAGGGAGCCCGATGTGGGGCTCAATCCCAGGACCCTGGGATCATGACCTGAGCCGAAGGCAGACGCTTAACGACTGAGCCACCCAGGCGCCCCAATAGAAAATCATTTTGATAATATCCACCTTACTGTAGCCAAACACAAAAAGAAAAACCATCCTCCCTTCACGGTGTCAGCAGGGCCAGGTGGTAAGCAAGACTTCTGGACCCATGTGGCACCAGCAAGGCAAGGGACCCCACAGGGGTCCCATTAGTAGAACCAGACAGGGAACTGAATTTCCACACCCATCTAGCAGCAGCGACAGAATGAGGCAGTGTGAGGGGGTGCTAGTTGACTCTCCACTTTCCTCACCCAGAGAGCATCAGCTACTGTCAGCAGAATTCAATTGAGACTGAACTTCTAGCAATGAAGCCACAGCAACATTCCACTTGCCTCCTTCTCCTCCCATGGCAAACTCCCCCTCCATGTAGGTAAGGTTCAGCAGGGGGATGACCATCCACCCCCTTTTGGAGGGGCATACTACACCTAAGCAGGGTAACTGCCTATAAAAAAAGAAGATTAAATGGGATCCAGAGCCTCACAATGTGATACCCAAACTTTCTAGGACAAGACTAAAAGTCACTTGTCATATCAAGAACTAGGTAACTCTCAACTTGAGTGAGAAAAGACAACAGACACCAACTCCGTGATAACAGAGATGTTGGAATTATTTGACAAGGATTGTAAAGCAGCATTCATAAAAAGGCTTCAGTGAGTGATTGTGAACATTGTTGAATCTAGTAAAAAGTTAGAAAACCTCAGTAAAATAGAAGATGTAAAAAAGAACCAAATAGAAATGTTTTAATTGACAACATACAGTAACTGAAATTTTAAAACTCAGCAGCAGGATAAATATGATAGAGGAAAGAATCTGTGAATTTGAGGACAGAACAATAGAAATTACTCTCTCTGAACAACAGAGAGAAAATAGACTGAAAAGAAGTTAACAGAAATATGGGGCAATAACAAAAACTCTAACATTCATATCATTGGAGTCTCAGAAGGAGAGGAGAAAAAGTGTGGTGCTAAAATAGAAGTAAATGGGGACGCCTGGGTGGCTCAGTCAATTAAGCATCTGCCTTCAGCTGGGGTCATGATCCCAGGGTTCAGGGATGGAGCCCCGCGTTGGGCTCCTTGCTCAGTGGGGAGCCTGCTGCTCCCTCTCCTTCTGCTGCTCCCCCTGCTTATGCTCTCTCTCTCTCAAGTAAATAAAATCTTAAAAAAAATAAAAATAAAAAAGAAGTAACTGTGTAAAACATTGCAAACTTGGCATAAGACATAAGCCTACAAATTCAAGAATCTGACTGATCCCCAAACAGATTAAACAAGACTGACCAAGAAAAAAAAGAGAAGGCACAAATTACAAATACCAAAAACAAAAAAGGTAATACCACTGCAGATCCTACAGGCATTAAAAAGATAAGAGCATGTTATGAACAACAACTAAATTAGAAAACTTGAATGAAATTGACAATTTCCTAGAAAAATGCAACTTACCAAAACTCACACCAGAACAAAGAGAAAAATCCTAATAGCCCTATGTCTAGTGAGTAAGTTAATCCATAATTTATAACCTTCCACTAAAAAGCCTCTTTAAGTCCAGATGGCTAAATACAGTAGTTCTGGAGTATGGCTCAGAAACTATAATTCTGGTAAATTCCCAGGTGATAGTAACACTGCTGGTCTAGGTCCTACACTTTGAGAATGAGTGTTTTGGAATAATTTTCTAGAATTATAATTGTAAGCTCAAAAAGTAGAATATTTTAGAGTTTAAAAGGAACATATTCATGTCCCTTATGAAATTTTTAATGATTTTTCTCTTACTTATTTGTAAGAGCCCTTTATATATGAGAGATACTAGCTCTTGGGGCACCTGGTGGCTTAGTTGGTTAAGTGTCTGACTCTTGATTTTAGCTCAGGTCATGATCTGCAGTCCTGGGATCGAGCCCCATGTAGGGCTCCATGCTCAGTGCTGAGTCGGCTATAAATTCTCTCTCCCTACCC